GTATATAATTATTATTTTTATAGGCATTAATGTGCAGTAGTTTTCCGTGAATGTTGATTTTGTTAAATACATGAAATCCCAATCAATTGATTGCTGGTTGTATGGATTAATTGGTGCTCTACGGCAAGAGTTGCCTATTGTTGAGTAATCACTAGCACGTCTAACGTGGAAGTTGGAATGATAATTGATCGAGTCAGCAAGTAGGCGTATTGGTTCAATTTTGAGACACTCGAGGTCTGCTCATGTTCAAAAACCCTACTCGACAAGACTCTTTGGCTCATGGACCTAATGAGACGAACCGTCCACAAGCCAACTTATATTAAAATGAATTAAAAAATAAGTCAAAAAATGAGCCAGTCCACAAGCCCAAAACAAACGAGCTCGTGGACTTGTAATAATTTTTTTTATTAATTTAGTTCGTCTCAATATATCAACCCTAGTCATTTATGGATCGAATCGATAAGCAACTTCTCCTCTTTTCCACCCTATGCAGACGAAAAAATTTAAAGATATGATTTTTTTTTTTTTTCAACTTTTATCGATATGTGAGAAAATAAACGTCATGAAATTATATTTTGAATCTTTGATACAGCCTGTTGTACAAATTGTATAACATTAAAAATGAGGGATTATATACATTCATTTAGATCTAATCTCCAACATATCGAGTTTATGTTGAAAGAAATCTTATTGCAATGTATATATTCAAGATAAAATGTGAATAAATAAATAGTTTCGTTCTTAACGGTTTAATCTTTTAGCTAACGTACACGAAAACTCGTTGTAATAGAACTATTAGTGGAAGGAAAAGAAATTGTGTGAGTTTGAATTAAAATATAGATTAAATTATCTACTAAATTGTGATAGACAGTCTGTTGACCTCAAATTTTGTACCTCCAACGAGGCCAAAAGATCCCAAGGCCTCTCTATCCACACAAGCCTGATTCCTGCATAATTGAACAAATTGTTAGCCACAAGTAGCTTCCTCCGGTGATAGTGGAGTGGTCGTGCTCACTCTGACGGTCAAATCAGTTGGGAAAATAAATGTATAAGTGTGGGGTGGCTTTGTACGCGAGCCTCAAGTGTATCAAAGTTGTAAGTTGGGAGTATAAACTTGCATTATCTTGAAATGACACTAAGTGTGAACTTTCATGGTAGAAAATGATGATTAAGAATCGCTAGATGAGGGTACAGGTGATCTCATCCCGACGGTTTGGACCTCTTATCATTGCCATCAATTAATCATGTGCATTAAATGCTAATACCATTTTATTATTCATAATACCTAGCTTGCGGCTTTGGACTTGACCTATTTAGCTGGGAATGGTGACATCATCAGTGGGTTCATATAAATCACATACCATGGATTACCCAAAAAGATTTTGTGCCGAGTTCCTTTAGCGGTTCCCCTACGATGCAAGTCAGGTTCCTGCCACGGGGGTTGACACGGTCCGATGGTTTCGACCTCCGCACATCGGCTAGGCCTGTTCACTGGTTCGATCAAACTGCATTCATGGTAGTTTGGCGCAGAGAGTTGGGCCCTATGCTTGCTTGCCATGTAGGATTTCTGGAGCCTTATATTTTGAGGCGTAACAAATCACATTGCTTTACTCATAATTTATCAATAGCAAATTAATTAACCTTCATTTATTAAATATTTTTAATTGGTCGCTTGCATCTTTTCTTGATTAGTCTGGTCAATAGAACACTGAAATAATTTTTGTTTTTCTTTTGCCTGTTAATTATATAGAGAAAGGAAAAAAAAAAAAGGATATAATGTCAAACGTGTTGCGTCTCAAGTGCGGAATTGGATAATAAAAATCTATATTCAATTCAATTGACCTCATAATTGAACTAGAGAAAAAAGTCAAACTACAAGAATATTATTAATTTTTTGTTTTTAGACTGGGGCTATGATTATGTGCTGCGGTTTTGCTCGAGTGTTGATTTTGTTCCAATTAATTGATTGGTAGTTCCATGGAGGTACTCTACGGCAAGAATTGCCTATTCTTGATTAATCACTAGCACATGCGGGCATAAGAATGGCAATTGATCAAGTCGTCGGTATACGTATCAACTCAATCCTTAGATATTCGAGTTTTGATTAGTGCTAAAAACCCTACCCGACTAGGTCATTTCGCTCGTGAACCTCATGTATTGAGTAGAGTCGAGCTGTCAACAAACTAACAAACCTACTTGTATTAAAATAAATTTAAAAATAAGTCAAAAGATGAGCAGGTCCATGAGTCCCAAAACAAGCGAACTTGTGGGCTTGTAATAAAATTTTTGAGTTTAATTCGATCCATGGCTTATCTAAATATCAACCCAGTCGTTCATGGATCGAATAGGTAAGCGGCTTGTCTCGTTTGCAACCCCTAGACGACAAAATTTAAATATATAATTTTTTTTATAGTTTTTATTGATATGTGAGAAAATAAATGTCATGAATTTATATTTTGATATTGTTTGTTGTGAAAATTGTATAACATTAAGGAGCGACTATGTACATTCAGTTATATCTAATCTTCAACATGTCAAGTTTCCGTTGAAAACAAATCTTATCACAATGTATATATTGAAGATAAAATGTGAATAAATAAATATTTTCATTCTTTAACAGTTTAAACTTTTATATGAAGTATACAAAAACTCGTTGTAATAGAACTATCGATCTTATCTTTAAAGAGTGGATGTAAGATCGATTGCTAAAGTCCTATATGATTTAGTTAAAAAAAAGTTGATAAAAATTCAAGTTAAAGTCAACAATTAATTTTGACTACACATTTTATGGGGTCCACAATTTTTTTCAACTTTTCAACTATATATTTTATTAATTTTCATCAAAATTTACTAAAAATCTGATTTTTAACTACGCAGAACCAAGACTAAATTTTGAACTTTTCTATCTTGTCATGCAGTCCAAAGCGTTGTTTTGGTCCTACACACAAAAATGTACATACAATGGATAGTTGACTTTGTTTTCAGTTGTTGTCAACGTCAAAATAAACCCCATTATGCCAATTGCAAGTCAATTCAACAAAATACACTATCTTTCTATATAGGGAAATAGAAAGTTCAATGATAATGAAAATATCACTTGAGCTCATTAGTTTGCAAATTTGTATTGAAATAACGTCGTACAACTCTAGTCTAATGGATGGCACGACAATGTGCGATTATTGTACTTACAAGGTAGAATGTGAAAGACATAACTTAAAATCACTTTTTTATGTACTAATCAACGTTTTATAAATTACTGAATAACTATCTCCAACTCAGTTGACTACAATTGTTAACAAGGTTTCCTATAAGATGAACGTGTTTTCGTTTAGGCGATTTGTAATAGATTTTCAAACCAAACTGCTTAAAGTGATTTGAAATTTTTTAAATTAAATCAAATCACTTTTTTTTAACTTAAAGTCG